TTTTTCGTACCCCCTCCGGCAACCGCAAAGGCACTACTGCTGCAAAAACCCGGGTCTAAAACTAAAACTAAAATAAACTAAAGCCTAAAGTAACTCAAAGTAGCAGTGTGTTACAACTCTATTCCTAGTTTTTGCATAGTTCCAGGTGGGAAAGGACTCTCCTCCCCATTCCCCGTCGCTCTCTCTCCTTCCCGGGAGCCCCACTCTTCCCCCACCACCGGTCACCCCCTCCTCTCCCCTGAGGAGTCCGTCCTGGATCCGCCTATGATTAGGAATGACCGGTGCAAAATTCGCCAATGGTCAGGGGAGAAAATATTAAGAAGAGCAGAAGCTAATTTATGAGGACACACAAATTATTACTCAAAAGAGGCAAAGAAAAAAGTGTGAAGTTAAAAAGTACAACATAAGCAATACAAAGAATTTGAAGCAAAAAATATTTAAAAAAAGAGAGAAATATGGATCAATCTGGCGAAAATGAGACGTGAAAAGTAACGAAGAGTATTGTGGCGTGCGAAGACGTGACGTGGGATGTAAAATGAAAAAACAGCGGAGAGAATTGAACGTCAGAAACGTGAAAAACGGCGCGTGGGACGTGAAAAAATAAAAATGGAAAGAATCAAAAAGGGAAGGCAAATGAAAGGCAAGATTGGGGCGAGGAGGCAGCTGAGGGGCGGTAATTCAAAAGCAGAAATGAAGAAAGTGAAAAAAAATAGCCGCACGAGTCGTTTTCCATCTATTAGTTGCGGACGACAGGGAACGCGTGCTCCCCTCCCTTCCAGCATGTCCTTCCCCTTCTTCCTGCTGCTGCTGCTGCTGTTTCGCTAACTAACGAATGACAATGATGACGATGTTAACGACGATGCTGAAGATAACCACTATGATATTATTAATGTCCGTGTGCACACATATATATGTATCAACCAATTGCCCGTTGTGCTTGGTGCTCCGGGAAAGGTCACACTTTTCATTCAGAGGTGTCAGTGGCGCCCAAAAATGGAATGAGGCACACACGCGCAAACAGAACTTCATCAGATTTGAAGTTTCGCACCTCTTAAATACTATGTATTAGTTTTATAAGCTTTCGTATCTCTAATGAATGCTGAAATACAACAAACGAAAGAATGCAAAAAAAATTTGGTGGGGAAACCGCTGAAAGAATCAGATAAAATATAAAGTTGATTCCCTGAGGATGTCTCCCGGTCATATGTGAGCTAAAGATTTCAAATTCAGCTGTCACGTACATCTAAGTCCCACTGGTACGAACATGTCAAAGTTTAAATCGAGACGACGCTGGCACCGCG